ATTAAAGAATTTACTACCATGTTTGCTGGGGTTATTCTACATGTGCAAATAGGAGGAGAGTGCATTTTAATTCTATGTGCCTCAATTTTTGTGGGGAAAAAATCCTCCTCCTTGGGAATCTCTGCTGGTCAAAATAGTAGCACATTGCATAACTTGCTATTATGATTTAGTTCTTTGTAATTTATTGCTACAAATTACAACTAAACTTATATGCCTACTTTGGATTAATTCTTTTTTTCTTTAGAAGCTTGCAGGATTACCCTACAACAGAAAACCTGAGCCCATTGTTTTAAATGGCACGTAGAACAAAACCACTTTCCTGAAGGACAAAAACATAGCTGCACGTGAATGCCCATTACCATATGGAGCCATTATTCATATATAACAAACAAACAAAATGTGGAGATTCCTCATCCTCTACATTTTGTTGGTTTGTTATATATAAATAGTTGACAAAACTAGACTGTTGGTAATGTGAGTTTGAGATGTACTAGAGGAAGTGTTGTAAAACTTGCACTGACTTTTCAAAGCATCACGATATTGGTGAAAATATTCCAGCTTACCTTATGGTTTCAAGTATTTGAGCTTTGCTAGGTGACTGCAGGGAAAGAATCTGATTAACTTGTCTGTCTTGAAGTAAATTGTCTTCCCATTCCCGACAAGATCGAAATAAGAACATAATAATTAAAATTAAAAATCAAATAATGATTTCTTTATCTTACAGTGTTTTCTCAAATGAGACCTAGAAATTCCAGTCTGTGTGTATGATTTTTCAGTGTTCACATACCATATTCTTGCATACGTACTCCTTAAATGAGTACAGCCTGGATCTGCTGGTGACACATTTGACTTTTGACTCTGCTAAGCTTGATCAGGGTGATAAATGCTTATCATGTTAACATAAAAAGCTTTGCTCCTTTCCTAAACAAAATTGCAATCTCTTTTTGCCTCATTAATGCCATTGGATGAAGAACTGTTTTGGTGTGGGGTTGGTTTGTTTGGGTTTTTGTGGAGTTGGTTTCTGGTGATTTTATTTTTACAGCTTACACATTGCAGCTAACTTTTTACAAAGTATCACATTAGAGCAGGAAGTAATAATTTCAGAATTCCCATTTGTTCAGATTAATTAATTTTCGTATGTCTCAATCTACTGCAGTAAACTGTTAGATGAAAATGAGATTTTAAGACTGAAAATTTAAAGACACATCTCTCTTTCCTCCCCTTCCCCCTTTCTTTTTGCAGTACTATTTTGGCAATCACAACCTACCAAGAGACAAGTTTCTAAAGGAACAGATCAAACTAGATGATGGCTGGGTACCTTTAGAAGTAATGATCAAATTCAACAGGTAAAGCAAAGTACAAGTAATGTGGATAAAAGATTAACTTTCAGCTACCTATCTCTATTTGGGGCCAAGTGTTCCTGATGTGCATTTACTTTTCCCATCTCTTTTTTAACATCTGGCTTCAGTTTTGCCTGTGTATTTGTAATAACCTCTGTCTGCTTACTCAATAGGTTAAGTCGCCTTTCAAAAGATTTTGGTGTTATTGTAGAAGCACTGAGAAAATCCAAGACGGGTTTAATGGAAATAAATGAAGACAAAACTAAAATCAGAAGATCTCCAAATAAACCCCTCCCTGAATTAAATGACCAGTATAAGGCTGCAATTAAAAACAGATCTGTATACGTTGTAAGTAAATTTTTCTTTACTTTATGCTGCCCTGCATGTCTTTAACTGATAACTATCTGAGATAAAGCTTGAATTAACTCGTACTATAGAGGTTGTAGTTTTTAAGAGTCACTTTGTGGCATATAATTGAAGCTCATTGCTGTCTTGCAGAAAGGCTTTCCACTAGATGCTACTCTTGATGATATCAAAGAATGGCTTGAGGATAAAGGTCCAGTTGAAAATATTCAAATGAGGAGAACATTGCAGAGAACGTTTAAGGTAATGATGAGCATTTAGCCCTGGGGCAGGGATCCCTCCCGGACAGCATTCTGTTCAGTTACTCTAACAAGATCTCTTATCACTTAACAGGGCTCAATATTTGCAGTGTTTGATAGTGTTGAATCTGCTAAGAAGTTCACAGAGATACCAAATCAAAAGTACAAAGACACAGAGCTGATAGTACTTTTCAAGTAAGTCCACTTAACTGATATAGGAACTAACAGTGGTCAGGGGTGGATTTAACAAGAACCAGGCTTGGCCTGAGAAGTGAGTTTTTCATGTCATCAATAGAGGTACCTTTTGGAGACTGAGACTTAGCATCTCAGCTTGGAAAAATAATTTCATCTATTATAACAGTATTTTAAATTAAGCTATATTCTGTTGAAGGGAGGAGTATTGTACAAAGAAGAATGAAGAAAGGAAACAAAACAAAGTAGAAGCGAAAGCAAGAGCTAAACAGTGAGTCACTGCCAATCAAAGTGCGTGTCTTGCTTGCCTGACCATGCTTGAACTGACTCATAACTAATTTAACTTTTTTGCAGGGAAAAAGAAGAAAAGCAGAAACAAGCAGCAGATGCTGAAATGGTATGGGTTTCTTAAATCACCTACATTTTATAAAGTAACATGGAGTATTCTGTTTAAAATGTTGTAATACAGAACACTTTCTAGAAAGTCACTTCAGCTTTTCCAACTAACTTACAGTAAGAGAGTTTTGTCATGCTGTTTTAATATTATTTTCAATAGACTAATTTTGTTTAAAGGCTCATGTTCTGAATTTACATTATGAGACATGTTTGCCTGTTCAGAATGTTCCTGAATGCACCATTGAGATGATGGTTCTTCTATGGTATTTAAAGGATCCATTAAGGATTTCATCAGTATTATACAAATTTCCAACCTATCAGCCTTCAGAAAGCTGTTTTGTAAAATTTAAAGAGTGTGATTAATATGGGAAAGGAGTCCTAAGTTCCATGTAAGTGTATCACAGTAAGCAAAAAAAAACTCAAAGGAGGGGACACACACTGTACAAGACTTAGACATCAGCAGGACTAGGTTATGTAGGAAAAATGCTTGAATTACTGTAACTTCAACTGCTTGTTTATCACTAGTATGTTTAATAGGATTGAGGGGGGAATATAGATATTCAAACTTGACTCTTCAATGATAATGTGGGGGTTTTTAATTGAATTTAGAAATCTCTGGAAGAAAAGGCAGGATGTCTTTTGAAGTTTTCTGGTGATCTAGATGACCAAACATGCAGAGAAGACCTCCATGAAGTATTTTCTGGTCACGGAGAAATCAAGTGGATACACTTTGTCAGAGGTGCAAAGGAGGTGAGTAATCTTAGACAAGGACTTAAGATTTTGGTATTGAAGTTTGAAAATGGATGATTAAATGTTCTTTTATGTTATCGAGTAAGTTATTGTCTTGTGAAATTGCAGAATATTTAGAGAATTTAATTTTCCCCTTCTTTCAGAAGAACAGATAAAGGCTCCAGCCTTGTTAGTTGATAAGGTCAAAACTAAGAATGTTCATTAGCACAGTCTGAGGGCTTTGCTTCAGTCTGGTCATGTTATACAATCATACAAAAATAAAGAATTTGATGAGGCACTCAACAGGATATATTGTTCATCATTCTAGCTGAATGTTTCTGCAGTAAGATTAAAATGAAAATACCACTCTTCTTTTAAAGGGAATTATCCTATTTAAGGATATTGCCAAAGAAGCTCTGGAAAAAGCCAAAGCAGCACATAATGGAAACTTGCAGCTCCGGAACAAGGATGTTTCATGGGAAGTGCTAGAAGGAGATGCAGAGAAAGAAGCTCTGAAAAAAATCCTGGAAGATCAGCAGGAATTGCTGAAACAGAAAACAAAAGGTTCTCCTTCCTCTTATTAATTTAAGCCTTTTTAATGTCCTAGAATTGGTGGATGAAATTCACTCTTAGGTAGTCCATATATACTACAGACTGACCTTAACTGTAAAGCAGTCTCTGCAGCTGGCCAGTTAAGAGACAAATGATACAAAGTTCCTGATCTTATGTCTCCACAGGGCGCAAAATTAAAGGAAAAGGAAGGGGGGGAAAGATACCTCAGGGTGCACAAAAAGGAAAAATACAGTTTCAGGGCAAGAAAATAAAGTTTGAGAATGATGAAGAAGATGGTGAAAATGATGCTAAAACAGGTATGTCATTCTGTGCACTTGATGCAGCTTATTCAGTACTTTTACAGAAAGTAGCTGCATGTACAGCTCCATGTACTTGTGTTTCACATTTGGCTCTGCTTTGCAGCATTGCAGCCCTCCTTGCAGTATCTGCCTTAAGAATCTTGTGCTCAATTCCTTCCACAACTGTCCAAAAAGCATATTAAGATAATTACTGTATAGATATTAATTATCTATATAGTAGTATATAGGTAAGGCTATACTGCATGGCTGTGTAAAACAACCATGCATTGAAGCATGGTGGTTGTCAGCAGCATTACACAAGTGGACAGACTCAGTCTCTTTGAGTGGTGCTTTCTTTTTCCTTTAAGGATATGAGAAGATTTACTAGCTCAGCCTGTCAGTATTTAGCTTGGAGCAGAGGAGGAGCTGGGTTTTAGCAAAGCAGGTGCTATATACTCCTGTTCATTCCATATAGCACCTGCTTAACTAAAACCCAGTGAACCCTACTCTGGTAGATTCTATTCCTTCATTTGCTTACCCGCCCTCCTGCTGTGGAGTTAGACAGGGGTGAAGCTCTTCAAATGGGGCATTTTAGAACATCTAAAAGCTTTAGTGACAGTAATAAGCAAACCCTCTAGTGTAGCTGTGGCTGTAGATAACTGGGACTCAAACTTACATGGTGGGAAGAGTTGGGGTTTTTTCAGATTTCAGGCAAAGCTTTCCTTTACTCTGAATGACTACATATTCAATCTTGCAGAACCAGCAAGTCCCAAGAAGAGACCACTAGAGGAAACAGAAAAGGAAGAACCTGCACCAAAACAACTGAAAACAGAAAATGGAGATGGCAATCAGTAATAGTCAAATAAAAGAATTAAAAAAATTCGTGGTTTTATTGTTCCATTTTCAATAGATTTTAAATACATGCCTCAGTTCAGGACTTTTTTGGCAGAAAATCTTATGAAATCCACTTCAATGTCAACCTACAATTAGAGAAAAGTTTCATTTTATTGGGTTACAGCTTTTTTTTTTGTTTAAGAAGCATGCTTACTGCTAATATAAAACCCTGGACAACTTTTCTATTTATAGCTTTGTTTATACTGTCAAATCTTCTCAGTTTTTCTGGCATCTCATTCAAATGTAAAAGGTTTTGGACTTTGTAATCTTGTGGTTATGTTTAATAGCAGCTGGCAATAAATTCGGAACTTAAAACTGCTTTCTACTGAAGCCTGGTTAATATAGTATAATGTTTCAACTGTGAATTAGCAAAGACTTAAATAATTTTAAGTTCAAGTCACCAAGAGCATAGTCAGCAGCTGATTAAAGCTTCTGTTCTTTGCTGCTCAACATACTAAACAGTGTTCCAACTATTGCTCGCTCTCCTCTCTACTTTCCTCATGGTAAGGGCTGGGGCTGCATGGCTTCCAGGCCAGCATTCAGTAGCAAGGACCTTGCTGTGGGCTGAGGCTGCCATACTGTGGGTCAGGACTTTATCCTTTCCTAGTGAGCATGAGTTCCTCCTGCTGCCCCCAGGCTGGCTCTGAAACAATGCTACTGCTGTAACATCCTTGTTACTGTGGCCCTCAGCACTGCATCCACTCCAGTCTGAGCTGCAGACAGGATTGAGCTAAGAGCTATTAGGAGTCGAGTCAAGGAGGCTGCCCTTAGCTTCACATCTAATTGCAGTGCTGCTTTAAACTTTGTGTAGAGCTTTGGCATTATCATGATGCTTTTCCCTGTTCAGCTACCAAATGGAGTAACAGCAAGGATGTGACTGAAGGCCGTGACCATTCTTTATCCAGTACATATGGCCCTAAAACTTAAATCTCATTAAGGAGAATTTATTGATCTCAGCATTTTCTAAGTTATGTTAGGTTTTATACTTACTGATTTCTTCTTATGGAACTTGTATGATGCTGGTAAGTCAAACCTAAGTTCTGTGAACAGTATAAAGAATACATGTTAGACTAGGATGATAATCAGTCACTTAGGCCCTACAGCCATGTGCTTCTGTTTCTAATGTCTGCATCTGTTGTGGCCTGTCATACCTGTTTTATCTCTGCACTTCATCATGACTAAACATTGAAGCTGTCCATATCAGACACTTAAGTGGATGGCAGTTGTGTTTCAAGCACTTGTGCAGCTTCACATCTCAAGTTTTAGGACTGTAAAAAGCATCTGGTTACCAGAAGAACTTGGAAGATACTTAACTGGCAAAAATATTTAGGTGGCTAAGGACAGGATGCTTTTTTTGTGTGTGAGAACTGACCTGTGTTTCACTTGTCTTTTTCAGCAACATGCACTTTGAAGCAGGAAGAGGTAACTTCTGCTTGAAAACAAAATCTAGTCCAGGAACTAACCTAATTCTGCACAGAATATGTATTTATCAGAGCTTTATTAAGTACCTGCTTGTATTCTAGCCAGGTAGCAAAAAATTTAAAAAAAAAATTTTAAAAGTCTGCTAAAAAGAGAAAGATCCGTGTCATTTCTGTGTTAAATCACACTTGAATTTATCTTGGGGTGTATGACTGGCTAATAGTGTTAGAGATAATGTACAAAACCAAAAGATATTGGGGTTTTTTCCTGTTAAAAATAAATAAATATTACCTGCTAAGACTTCCATCTTCACTTCCCATTCTGCTGCTTTCTTTTGAATGTGCTACAAGTAAAAATGAGCTTTTAAAATTACCTGTTTTATAAACATCTACACCTCTGTACTTAATAAGTCTCCTGTGCTTTTGATTTTCAAGCCAAAGCATTAGATCACATAACTATCTTGATGTATGTGAGATTGCAGTTATTTGATGTAATTAGTATTTATCCCAAACATACCCCACAAAGTAGCTGACAAATCAGTGAAGCTATAGACATCTATAAAGCCAAATATTTTGTTGCCTGGTTAGTTCTTTCCCTACTAAAATGAAGAACTTACCTCTCGTGTTGAAGTTTTGTGAAGGGAATATACAGCTGTTTTTGCCATTTGTAGAGCAGTTTTCAGAAAAATCATATCAATTCCTAAAACAATAATGAAATTATTAGAATTGTTAAATGGAAGTGCAAAGATCTGCTTAATTTTTTCTGGAATAATAGCTACTGGAGACACAGCACTGAATACATTAAGGTACAGAAAGTATTTCTAAAACATACTCAATTGCTTTCAATAAAATAAAAATTATAGGGATATGAAATATCTAGTATCTATTTCAAACCCCAGTGACTGTTAGTTACAATGCTGAAGTTGATAATCTTAGGAAGCTGATTCCAGATAAACAAAACATTAAGAAATTAGAATATAAACAATATAAACTAATAACAAGGGATTGTTTCATTGAAAACATTTCTCTTACTGTTTGGTTTCTGATAATTTCTAACTGAGCTCTACAATTACCAACCTTTGTTATGCTTGGTACCAAACGGAGGGTTCATAATAACTGTGTCAAAAGTATCTGACATGCTGTCAGATAGAGAACAGATGTCACACTGAACCACGTTGACATTCGAAAGCTCAAAGTCTTCAATATTGCTATTAAATATTTCTAGTGCATCTGCATCTATGTCAAGGCCCACACAGAATCTATTAAGAAAAGTGGCACATATTAGTCTACTGCAAACTAAAATGGTGTTTAAATTCTACAGTAAGGGATCTGTGTACACAACTTGATTTATCTAGGAAATGTAACAAGCGTACATAATACATTCAGTGCTGAGAAAAATGCAAGTACTTCTCTTGCCCTTTCTCAAGTATAAATCTAAATTTTGTTAAGCAAGTTTCATGCATTCATTTAATGCTTATGGGGAGAGCAAATGATTTCCAAAAGAATGACAGCTGTCCATCACTTTCACAGTATGAATGGCTATTGATAGTCAAAACTTGGTAAATATTAGCCTAATCATGCACCAGATTATAAACCTGAAAGGTATAAGTTCAGCAGTGCTATGTTTTAATCTTACTTTCTACTTTTCTATGCCAGAAAGAAATATAACCAGAAATCTTAAATACTTACCCTGCTCCTAACATTGCACTTCCAATGCTGAGCATGCCACAACCACATCCTAAATCTGCAATTGTTTTATTTTCAATATCATCATAAGTATTGTGAATTGTATAAAGCATACATGCTGGGGAAAAGAAAACCCAAACAAAACAGGTCAATGATACCAAATATGTATGTGATTAATCAAGAAAAGCTGTTTCTGCCTTCAGAAAACTCTTAATTTTGCATTAGAAAAGCCCATTAGTTAAAATGATGTTCTCACTGCCTGTAGTTCTCTTTTTCATTTATATGTGAAGAGTCAAAACCATTTTGACAAGTCACAAACTTTGGATCTTTGGTGGAGAGAGAGCTCTGAGTATTGCTTGTGGAAAAAGTATGCCTCTAAACTTTTTTGGGGAAAAACAATAGAAGGATATAAAATATGGAAAAGAGCATAATTAAGGGTATAGATGAGCATCTCTATATATACTTTTACTGGTTTTGTGGGTCATGACACAGCTCCATTTCAGCTTCTACAGTTACAGATTACAACTGCTTCAATCACAACATTATCTATTAGATTAAATAATTTAATTTTTGGATTGGACATTGTCTTAGGTTGCATTTTTCAAAGGAAGACAGACACTACGAGAGTACTACTATACACATTCCTGCTGGATACGCCTTCTTAACTACTGTGTAGTGTAAAGCCTTCAGACAATGCAGCAGAAAAAACTTTTTGAATTAAAATTGTTGATGAAATAGTCAAAGAGAAAACAGTGGTGTGTGTCACCTCTACCTGCAATATGAGGTCTTGTTGGATACTGTTCAAGGAGTAGTTTTGGATTTTCAAAAGTATCAACTTGTTGAAGACAGCTTTCCAGTTCTTTAAGCTTTAATTTCTTCATGTTTATGGTTTTACTAAAGAAAATAACGTGTAATCAGTTACAACAATATAAATAAACCACGTATGATCTTAAATTATTTCATACATAAAATCCCCTGGTGCTCTTCAGCATCTCCTGGGTGTTTTCACGCCGCCGTTTCCCGGGGCGCAGCTGGTGGCGCGCCGATGATGGGGAATGCCCGGGCGGCGGCAGCCCCGCTCCTCACCGGCTCCCGGAGTTCAGGCCCCGGGCTCCGCTTCTACCGCCCGGCCCGCCCGCCGCCCAGCCCTAGGCGGGGCAGGAGCTGGGCCCCAGCGACCGCCGCCACCTGCCCCGTCCGCTCCCGCCCAGCGCCGTCCCCGCTCGGTACCGGGCCCGCTCACCGCAGCTCGGCCGCGGCCCCACCGCGCACTTCCGACTTCCGACGCGCCGCCCCGCCCCTTCCCGGCTGACGGGCACCTGCGGGAATGAACCGTCGGGGAGCTGCCCCGTGTGGCGCTAACAAGTGCGAGCTTTGGTCTCGTTTATTATAAACACGAGACATTTTATTGCAGCCTTACGTGTCACCGCTGAGCGGTGCCTGTGAAAGCGCCGGGGACACACCTGGCAGAGCAGGCTTTCTCGGTGGTCCCGCTCCTGAGTGCCCTTAGGGACAGAACAAGGAACTGGAATTTTGCCGGCGCGCTGGGAAAAGCGGTCGTGGAGAGGAGTAACATTCACCTGGAACCACAGCGCGACACAAGCCGCCGGCAGACGGGCAGCCGTAGGAAACGCAGGCAAAGCCAGAAGCGAGGCAGCTGCCTTGAGGCCCGTAGCTGTCGGGTAGAAGGTTACTGTCATTTAGGAATAGATCTTTTCGTATGAGACTTTCCATTGCGCAGTTGAAAATCTATTTATCAAGGTTTAAAGCCGCCGATCGGTGTGCGAAACACGATAACTCGCATCCGCATGCGTTCTCTCCTGGTCGCAGGGCGCAGGCAGCCGCACGCTGGTACCTCGGGGCGCGGCTCTGCGGCCACCCTGGGGTGCGGTGCTGCCGCCGGAGCCCGGCGTTGCTCTGCTCCCCCAGCGGGGCCGCTTGATGGCAGCGAGCGCAGAACCGCCGGCCCGAAGCCTCAGAGGTGCCTCCCACATTCCCCGCAGTTGCTCCTGCCCTCAAAGCCGCCACCACCTGAGCCCGGCGGGACCCCTGTGGCCAGATACACGGGCGGCAGCGGGGCGTCTCACGGCAGCCGCTCCGCTGCAGGCACGGCTCGGTAACAAACGAGCTCCGCTGCCGTCGGGGCCGCCGGCCGGCCCAGGTGTACCCTCCACGCTCTCGCGGCTGCCGGGACCCCGGGAACGTGAAGTTTCGGGCCGGCGGGCGGCGACATTTCGTGCGGCGGCGGCACGGGGCGCGCACCTGCGCGCTGGGAGGGCGGCGGGAGGGCAGGGGCGGAGGAAGAGGAGGGTGGTGTCAGGGGAGGGGAGAGGCGGTGTCGGGAGGGGGGCGCGGGCGGCGGGCAGGGCGCCGGTGCCGCGGCTATCGCGAGAGGGCGGCGCCGCGGGGCGGGGAGCGAGGGCGGCGGAGGGATCGCGGACCCGGAGCCCGGCGCGGCCGTAACGGCCCCTCGGTGTCCCGTCATGGCGGGGGCCGGCGCCAGCAGCAGGGACAAGCGGGAGACGGCGGCGCGGCTGAAGGCGGCGCTGGGTGGCGAGAGCGGCGCGGCGGCGGCGGCGGAGCTGCGGACGCTGCTGGAGCTGGTGCTGGCCCCGGCGGCGGGCCCCGGCGGTGGCGAGGCGGCGGGCGAGGCGCTGGAGTGGTGCCGCTGCCTGCTGTCGGGCGGGGAGCCTTGGGACAGCTTCGTGCAAGCCGTGCGGGCCTACGACCCCGCCACGCTATGCGGCCTGGTTTGGACCGCCAACTTCGTGGCCTACCGGTGCCGGACGTGCGGGATCTCGCCTTGCATGAGCCTGTGCGCCGAGTGCTTCCACCAGGGAGAGCACGCCGGGCACGACTACAACATGTTCCGGAGCCAGGCGGGGGGCGCCTGCGACTGCGGCGACAGCAACGTCATGCGGGAGGCCGGGTGAGCGCGGGGCGGCCGCGGCGGGGCGGGCGGGCACCTGCCGGCGGGGGCGGCCCCGCGGGCGGCCGAGCCGTGGCCGGGCCGGGCCGGGAGCGCGGCCCCGGCCCGCAGCCGCCCTGAGGGAGGGCAGGGGGTGAGGCCCCTGCCGCCTCCCGGGCCGCCTGCCTCCATCCCTGCCTGCGGCTCGGACCGCGGGCCGAGCGAGGAGTCCGCCGGGGTTCGGCAAGGTGGCTTTGTTGATGTGGGTGTGCCTTTTTTTAGGACGCTCGTGCGAACCTTGTTGCCCTTGCACCCAGTGCCAGCCTCCAGGGAAGTTGATAAGGCAGAGTGCATGGGAGGCAGTACCTGTCAGCTTCCAGCTAGCAGCCTTGGCCTAACACAGCTAGCCGAGAAGTCAAAATACTTTGGGACAGCATGTGAGCAGATAAGCCAGAGTGAACAGATTGAGTAAGAGGGACGCATTTTTGTGTGATTTCCCAGTCTGCAATTCATTTTGCCACCTTAGCTTTAAATCAAGGAATGTGGTAGCGCTTGGATGAATATAACAGGGCACGTTTTTGTGGAAGTCAAAGGGCTTTTGTATCCTGACCTACTGGAGGCAAGACTGAAATGCCTGGTCAGAAGAAGAGGAAACGGGTACCTCATTAAACCCTCCTTTGTTCTGATATGTACTCAATGGTGAAAGGAAAGATCAGTCAACCAGTTACTGGATGAAGGTTGTACCTTGCCAGTAAACTTCAAATTTTACAACTGAGTGTCTTCTGGAGCTCTCTGTGTTCCTGTCGATTCACCAGCTAGCTAAAGGCTTCACTAGATGACAGTTTGGAGTGCTCGAATGAGGATTCTTTTCTGACAAATCTTGTGGAATAGTCTGTCTTGACTGTCTTAGCCTGGATGACATGGTATGCTGTTGAATTTGAAGTTGTGGCATACCTAGCAGAAAACACTAGGAACATAGGGAAGTTTTAAAACATTTTCCTTGGTTATTTTCTTGGTTTTGCAGCTTTACAGGCTATAACTCTGTATCACTCACTCAGCATCTTAAGATTCCTTCTCTTTTTGCATTCCTACTTAAAGATTTCATTAATTCTGCTCTTTCTGTTTCTTGAATGTTGTTGCCTTGACTCCAGTTCTTTGTGTCTGTAATCACTGCTCTCCTGCTGCAGGCCTTGAGGTGGCTTCAGTTTTTGTTTGTTATGCTTTTCTCACCTTTTCTGTGTCTTGCAATCTGCCTCCATCATTTATTCATTCTTTTTTGGTGGACTGTTTTCTTGTTCATAGACTTACTGCAATGTCAGAATTTTTTCCCCTCCTTTTGTTTTCAGTAATCTTCAGTGGTTTCAAGTTGCTACTGCTGAAGTGATTCTTTCTTTATCAGTTCTTCTTCAACTTGTGGTGATTCTGCTTTTCTCAGCATCACTGAAGTAAGAATTTTCATTGATCTTGAGAAACAGGAAAAAAATTAATACTTCTTCCACTGTTCATTGTGGAATAGACTTAGGGCTCCTCTTAGTGGCAGGATTTTAACAGAGCACACACAAATTGAGCTACTTAGGGTGAATGCTAACATGACTTGTGATGCTGTGCTCATCCTAGACTGTATAGCCTTCACAGTTGTCTTTTCTTATTTTAAAAAGTTTTCTTCTTGAGGAAATCTAGTTAATAAAGAAGAAATAAAAAATGCTCTTAAATTTGCAATGTAAGCAGATGCAAACCCCAAGGGAGTAACAATCTCATTTCTGTGTGCCCTAGTTATTACTTTTAATGGTGGAATTTGAGAGTAAATTGTCTTGTTTGTGAGGTAGGTCCCTTCAGGAGTTTTGGTCACTAAAGCTGAAGAATTGCTGAACAAATGAATATTTGTTCAGAACAACACTTGGCGTTGTGCAGTAGACTTTCCTGTCCTCTTGGACATATAAGGAGGGCAGTACATGGCAGCATATGGGGAGCCTGCATTTAACATAAGGTCACTTCTACTTGTGTGGACAAGAACTGATGTTAAGCCATTGCAATTAAGTGAACTAGAAACTTTGTTTGCTGCACATGACAAAGTAAAATAAACTTTCACCAATCTAAAAACCATTATTGTGTGCAAACACAGTGAGTTTTACCTATTGACTTGAATTGCTACAATGCAGCATGTTTAGATAGTGTATTAACTTTGTGTATACAAATCAACTGCACAATTACAAAGGTAATGCTTTGCATGTCAAAGTTAGGAGGCCTTCATGGTGGACTTAGGAAACTGGAGTGTGTCTAGCCTGATATAACCTTGGCCTCCACAGCCTAGGCTTCTATTAATAGCAAGGGAATCAAATGTGGAGCCTACTTACAAACTTTATCTACCATCTGTCTGCTCAGATACAGTTTTGTGTAGATGCTGTATATCAATATTATAGTAGCCTTCTTTTGTTTCTGTTATTATTATCTGGTCTTCATATTCATATTATTTATTTGATGCAGCTCAAAAATACTGTTCATGAAATCTTAGTTAACTGATCTGCTATAAAGGAAATCTCTCCAGTTTAGAATCTGGACATCTTCTCATTGCCTGTAGAATGGCTAATGTAAATCTAGAAATGGTTTACCCTAGAGTATGTGTGTGTGTTAGTCTTGTAGTACTAATTAAATATAGAATTTGCTTTATAGAGATACTTGAATTGCTTTATAGAGATACCTGAATGTTAGTTTTTTATTTCTGATGCCCTTATGAAAAGAAGCTGGAATATAGCGTAATAGATGGATACTATGATTTGCCTTAGGTACCTAGGTTTGCTTTAGGAACCTTGTGTAATTCTCATTTGTTTTAGAAAAATCAGGTTGTCACATTTTTGAACCTTTTGATTTCCATGCAGATTTCAGTGATTTTGTTGTTTAAGTTAATTGCAGTTGGTGTGATCTACTAGAATGTAATGTAGACTTTAGAAAATATGCAAGTTTGTAAATGTAGCTGCTTGTGAAAGCATTAAAAATTCTACCTATGGCAAGGTTGAATAGATTTTAAAATCCATTGATATGTCAGGAGGCAGAAATAGTTTGTAGTTGTCTCCCATCTGGTATCTAGCTATTTGCAAATGAAATCTAGCAAGGCCTTCAGAGGTAATTAATAATGTTCTGAAGAAGCAAAAATCTTCAGTTCTAAAGCATTTTGTGTAGACATATGCTCATAGTTCAAATGAGTTCATTTGTTGGGTTAAAAAAATCTCATGCACTTGGGCAGAGGAAAATTCAGACTTGAGTATTTTTTGCTTGGTAGACGGTCTTGTATTATAATGAAAGTGATGGTTTATGAAATGAGCTTGAAGAAAGCAGTGTGCCGTATGGTTATTATAAGAGTATAACCAGTCAATAATGTTACTGCTGAGTACCATCTTCTTTCTATGGCTGTCTTGTTCTACATCCCCTCCAAGTTTGTAGACAATAACCTGACATACTAGAGAGCCTCAACACTTTGGCTATTGTGTGCTGCCGTGTCCTGTTTCAGAGTCTGTCAGTTTGTTGACTTATTTGTTAAATTAATCATGTGGAAAGCAGATGTTTTAGTACTGCATTACAGTACAGCACGAATAATACCTCCATCAAGGGTTGCATATGCTGAAAGGTGAAAAGCCAGGTTAAGAATTTCGGTTAATAGGCTTTTGCAGTGATGTTTTTTGTTTATTTCTTGGTGGTTATGGCAGCCAGTGGTTCCATTGACATAGTGTTGCCTTATCTTACATTAAAGGGATGAAGGTGGGATTTCCACTTGCAACAGTGGGCTGGTTCTTCATCGAGTAACAAATCCTGTAGTTGTAAGGAAGGTAACTCTCACAGATTGGTGGTATATGCTGTGTGTTCAAAAGCACCTTCAGGTACCTAGCTCTAAACTTCCTGCAGTTCTGTCTTTACTGATCCCTGCTTATCTTTTCACAATAGATCAGACTTCTCTCTGTTTTCTTATTTGTCATCATGATGTCTCTCTTGGAGACAAACGTATCTGTTGGCTCTACTGTGATCCCCTTGTGGATAGGCCAGACAATTCTCTTTGCCTCCTCTTGCTGGCAAGTATGAGAAGTATATTCTGTTTCTAAATGGCTTGGTTTTTCCTGCTTTAATTTATTTAGAAAAAGCTCTGATTTGTTCAGTGTTTTAAAATGTTTGCACCCAGCAAGGATTATTGAATGTTTTTGTTAAATTTTGGATACCTAATAGGTAGATACCTAATTTTCATGACCTTTGCTATTCTGTCCCCATAAAATTCTATCCTTCCTTTTATTCCTTTTCAGAAATTGGGAGCTATGGAAGATTATGTTCTATTTTTTTACCTTCTGTAGCTAAGTAAGAGTAAAAGAGCTTTTTCATATTCTAGACTTTTAGAAAATGAAAATCTTAGTAAGTGAAAATTTTAACAGTGTGACCATAAAAAAGGAAGCTTGTTCTTGAGAGAGCTGTTATTGCTAGTTATCTTTGGATGCATTCTGTGCATGTTTATCATGAATGGTCCCTTTTACCATCTTGGGTTGTGGAACTGGGATCCCCTTAAGATCAGAAAAGTCAGATCTGCTTGTGGCTGTGTTTTGGGACATACAGTCAATTATTGTTTCACTGGCACAAAGTGGATTACTTGGCTATTTTACAGAGTGTCTTGCAACAGCAAATCACCTGCTTAGCATATATATAACATGTTGCTGCTTCAAGGTCATCCCTTCCTGTGTGACACCATCAATTGTCTTGTTTAACAATTATCAAGAAGTTTCAGTTCTCCAGGACCTAGGCTAGGTTTGGTAATGCAGCCTCAAAGGGATAAGGGTGCTCTTTTAGAACTTTCTTCAAGAAGTTGGTGAAACAGATGCTTTATCAACAGGCTGAGAGCCTGCAAATAGCTAACTTTAGCTTAGTCTCTGAGTTTTATGAGACCATGTTAAAATGCCTGTGTGTTCAGGATTGTTGAGCTGCTACAAATGCTGTTTTGTAGGGTCTCTGTCAACTCCATGCAGCTTTTCTGTGACTGAAGTCCTTTG